GGAGGACCCGCGCGGCGGCCGGGCCCGGCCACTCGCCAGAGTGGCTGTGGAGGGGGCTTGGGAACAGCCCCGGTTTCTGCTCCAGCTAAGGAACGCACCGCTAGCGCGCGGGTGGGAGCGGGACCCCCGTGCGACCCAGGACCCCGTACCTGTGCCTCCCGCGAGCTGGGTGCTGCTCCGCTCCTTTGCCAGCCCGTTGGCCTTGGGGCTGGCACCGGGTGCTGCTGCCGTTGTCGCCCGGGGCAGCCGCTTGCCCGGCACCTTCACCGTTGTCCTCAGAAGATCGATCTCCTTCCCATGGACGTTCTGCATGTAATCCTACGGCAGAAGAACCTCAGCTCAGCCCGTGTCCAGCCACCTCCCTTCTCAGCCCCTCATTCAAAACCTTTATACCCATTCACCAAAACAGCAGTTGGGTAGGACAGGAGCAAGGCAGTCACCTGGAGGTGAGGCAGGAGTCACTGCCTGGCTCTCTTGTGCTATGATGGCCACCAAGCCAGGCGGGCTATGTAAGTGACCCTGTGACTCCAGTGTGCTCAGCCAGCCATCCTCTGACAACTCAAATGCAATTCCTTGGATCCAAGTTGCCCTTTTCTGAACTAGCTGATGAGTTACAACTGGCTCCAGAGAAGAGCCAGGTCTCGCTTCCACTGCCCAGACCGATTTGATTCTGATACGAAAAATGCCTGGATGCTGCCATGGACACCCAGGTGTCAGGAGAAGCCCATATGTGAGAACCTGCCGAGGAGGCCAGAGGTTCGGTGGAGCAACCTCAAGGACGCGGGGATGGACTCTGTGTCCCAGAGCCCTTGGAAGGAGATCCTCCGCTCCGTGACTGGTGCATCCATTCCCGGTCTGGACGGGGCCGCCCCATGGGCTCCCGCTCCAGGCCTCGCTCTGTGCCGATGGGATGAGCGACGGCAGCCGCCCGGGGCAAGGCTGCAGCCGCAGCTCTTCGTTCACAGGGAGGCTTCGGTCTGCTCCAGTTCACAAGGAGGTCGCCAACAAGATTAACTAGAGATGGTCCTCGTGTAAATCCTTCTCTTCCAAGCTCCAGAGGATGCAGACACGAACAGGATCAGTTTAAGACCTGCCGGGCTCCCAGTCCTTGGCTCCACGAAGCAGGTGAAAGGGGCTGCTCCTGCCACACTCTGTGGCCTCAGGCTGCTCCGTGCAGAGGCTACAGCCTCCCAGGAGCCCTCTCGTCTTTGCGCAGATCCCTATCAGGCATCCAGACCTCAAACACCACCGACCCGCTGCACCTCTGCCCAACTGGACCTTCCACGGCAGTGAGGACAGCACCACCCTGCGCCCAGGCAAGTCACGGACATTGCTCGGAGCTGCTCCTGGCTGGTGGGAATCTGGTGACACCCCTGGGCAGGGAACCTCGGAGGGCTGCAGGATTTTCCCTAACTCAGCACAATTGCTGTGCTAGCCGGCTGCCTGCCGGAGAGAGCGGTCACCAGCGCACTGCTTTTATTACACGCTATAAAACAGCAATTTCTTCCCAAGCCTCCTCGCTAATTACCCAGCCAGTTCTCTCATTTCATTTTATTACTGGAATTAACAACGAGTTCAAAGCGTGGAAAGCTATTAAGATGTGTGATTAAGCCACATTCAATTAGTTTCTACAAACAATTTAATTGATGTTGCAGATAGAATTAACAGAAGGTGATTGTGTGAATGGCTCCACTGGCTGCAAAATGGGAGCTGCTTCCTCTCGCGCTCCGCGCGGCGCCGCGCAGCCCGGCCAGCGGAGCCGGCTCAGCCACGCGCTCCCTCACCAGCAGAAGCGTTTGCTCTCCAAGGCTTTGGGAAAGTGATAGGAAACCACACTGGTCTTTTCATAAAACTTGTTCTTTTCTTCTCACTGAACACATTCACATAAAAATAAGAGGAAGCGGAAAGGCAGCAAGGGAAGCTGTGCTGAGTGCAGGGATCGGGCACCCCGAACGCTCCTGCCTTCAGCCAGAGCTGCTGCTCCACGCGCGGCGTCTTCCTTCCGAAGCCTCTGAACTGTTGGCTGTGGCCGAGGAGAGGCAGCGGTGGCTTCTGAGAGCAGGAACACGCAGCTCTGGGACCCAACGAAGGCCCGAGCTGCCAGCCAAGCCACAGACACCTTCCTCAAGGTGCTCCTCAGTTATGGAACATTCTAGATCCAGCTCATACGACCCCTCTTGCGCTCACCCCATCAGGGCAAACCCTGCACACTGCTGCTCAGCCCTACTGCCAGGGAGAAAACCTCCAAGCGGAGCGCGGATGCCGTGATATTGATCCTGAAACCGGAACAGTGACAAACTCACAGAAGCAGATGACTATCTCAGGATAGCAGCAGAATTATGGATGACTCAGAGCCACGAACTGAGTCCTACTCGTGGGGGCACAGACACATTTGGGGAAGATACTGGAGGAAAAAGGAGAGTGCCAGGGCTGCTTGTCCTGGGATATCTACACCCATCCCAGGAGAGGCTAGCACAGAATGAAAAGCAAATGCAAGAGAAGAGATGTCTAGACAGAAATTGCCTTGAATCATGCAAAGGAAAAGCCCCTGGGGAAGCAGAAAGGCCTTTGCTGCGGAGCTCGAGCAGCCCTGGAGCCCCTCAGTGTTCAGGAATGTCTTCGGTCCATCTCTGCTGCCCCCCCAGTTCTGCCACCCCCACGACACGCGGAAGCGCACAGCGCAAGGCGAAGCCGGGATGCGACGTCTCCGGGAAGCGCCGAGTGTCTCCTGGACGCGGGATGGGCGCACGTGTCCCCGGCAGCAGCTCCGTGACGCGCTGCAGGACGCGGAGCGGCCGCTGGGAAGGACGTGGCACAGAAACACGAGTCCTTGCTCGGGAGCACCGGCTGCAGCGGTGACCCAGGCTGCTCAGCCCTGCCGTGCTCTGCTCTGTCACGTCCCAGGAAAGGACGTGGAAACTTGGCGGGTGCCACAGGAGACAAAGCAGGTGACAACAGCATCTCCTGAGTCACTCCTGAAGATGGCACCGTGGGAAGGGTGTAATGGGACATCCTCTTCTGGGCTGCTCCTTCCTCCGGGCTGCCTTCCTACCTCTGTCCCATCCAAGGAGGAGGTGAAGCAGGTACCCAGACAGAGGGCTCCCTGGCAACCTGATCTGGACCCAGTTCATCAGAGCCTGCGTCTGTCCACGTCACAGACAAAAACACAGCACGACGACAGCTGTCATCGCTCCTTGTCCCAGTTCTCAGGGTGACAATGCCGCGGGAGATAGGCAGGATTCCCCACCGCGGCCAGGGCAGCAGCGGTGCCCTCCGAGGTCCCCAGCAGCCCTCACTGCTCCGGGTGAACAGCCCGTGTCTTGGGTGCAAGGTTCACCGCGTTCGGTGCGATCCAGGGGAGGAGAGGCCCGTCTCACTCCTTCCTTAGCAATGGGCTGTGCATCACCAGTGGCACCGCGTGGAAGCCAACCACACTTTTGCTTGTGGAAATGTGTAGTAATGAAATGAACCGCTGAAGGAAAGGTAGTGACATCAATCTCAATCATCCCCAAGGAAGAAATGCATAAAGAGGAAACACAGCGTGTAGCAGCATCAGTTGTGAGCAGTTCAACAACGCCCCAGAAATTACTGTGCCTCTGAGCTGTTTGCAGCCAGGGCCCACGGAGTCTCCAGTGAAAGGGTGGCAGATCCCAGCACACCTGGGCGCGCGCCTGCGCACACGGAGCAGGCAGCAGCCACCACACTCACTCTCAAGGCGCAAAACATCATTGCAAAGTTAGGAACTGTAGAATAGACAATACATTGTATGGTACAGCAACCAAAGACTGAAAGGAAAAACTGTTTTGAGAGGTCCCACGGATTACAGAAGGGAAATGCAATGCCTGGCTTTCAAGCTTATTGGTTACAGGTGCAAAAGGCAAAGGGGTTTGAGGCCTGGAGGACCAGGCATAGCGAGCCCATGAGTTGTGGCCATGGGGCTCGAAGCGAGTGAAGGGCTGTGGGGCACTCGGAGCCCTGCACGTCTGGGGTGTTTGCAGACCAAGCCAAGGCCCCGTGTGCAGGGGGAGCAAGGGCCTGGGGCTGCAGCCCGCTGCTCTTGGCTCTTCCATCCCAGAGAGTTTTCCAGGATCCTGCGCAGAGCCCACCCTGCCCATCCTACGCTCTCCTGAGAAGCAACGTCCTTCGCTCAGAAGGCACCGTGGTCCCCGGTGCCACAGGTGTGTCTGGCCATGGCTCGCTCTCTCCGCAGCAAACTGTGCTCAAGAGGGAATGGGGAAGAAGTCATTAGCCCCACAGTGGGGAGGCGACAGAGATGGATGGGGAGGCAGCTGTGTGCCTGAGCCAAGCAGCGAAGGGGATCCGAGCTGCATGGAGTGACAGCTCAGCTCGGCAGGCTCCGCACAGGCACCTCATCTCCATTACCCAATACCTAGCAGCCAGGAAAATTATTCCACACCCAAATGGCACCATCAGACATGGCTGCAAGGAGTTCTCTGCCTGATCCTCACCCCAGAGGCAGGGAGGCGGCAACCCCTGCTTTAATGGGCTGAGCACGGGCAAGGCAGAGAAGAAAGATGCATTTACTTAGCATAATTCCATGCAGAGCATGTTCCCATCAGCCTTTCCCACCCAGCTCCACACTGCAGACAGACAGCTTACACGAGAGGGGAGCGGGTTTCTCCAGACTCTGGTAAATAACGGTGTACCAAATTTGTTTAATGTAGAGGAGATCGCCAACCCTCCTGCTTTGGGTCCTACTGCAAGGAGAGACTGTGGCTTCCCCTGCTGTCACCCCCCTAGAAGCAGCCCTGCACCTGGGGCCCCTGCAGCGCCGGCCGCAGCGCGGAGGAGGACACTGCCCCGCTGCTCCTCAGCCAGCTCCACGCAGCACTTACATGCAGGCTGGGGTGGTAGGTGAGGACTCCGTTGTCACACAGCGTCACGTACTTCTTCTTCCATTCCTTGTTGAGAGACTTGCCACTGCGTTTGAGGAGAATGCCCTAAAAGAGAAGTGCAAAGTCTCAGACGTTGGTTGGTCCAGGCACTGTCCCTTCAGAACTGCCTCATATGAGACTGGTTTCAGAAGAGACATGAAGATCTGGACTCCAGAAGACATGTTCTAGATTGACCTCCCAACAGCATTTTCCCTGGGACAATCAGGAAAAGCGCTGCAGCCCTCACCCCCCATTCCCACCTGGCCTCCCCAGACTGCTCATTCCCAGGGCTGGGGGTCTCTGCATCCCAGCACTGAACCCAGCCCTGCTGAGGGACCTATGACACGCGCCGCTGGATGGTCCCAACACAAGGCAGGGACCAGCGACACCATCAGCTTCATTAGCACAGTTCTCCCAGACCATCTTTGACCACCACAAGCACAGGCAGAGGGATGGGCATGGCAAGCGCAATTCGGGACACACTGGGGTCGACAGAGAAATATCCCAAGATATAGGACTCACAAGAGACAAACATACTGCTGCCACTTTGCAATTCTTGCTTAGGGATGTCGAATGGATAGAGCCAGGGACACGTGTTAGGAGCTAGAGCAGGTCCTGGCAGATGGTTTGCCCGCTTTTCTCCATCAGGATTTTACAGAAGACCCATCCTGTGATTCCCAGGTACAGTACACACCTTGCACCTCAAAATCATCACGTTTCCATGCCCCAAAGCCTTCATTTTCCCTCATCCTTATCCCAGAACTAACTTACACTGACCTAAACCAAGAGTCATAGTGAAAGCGCTTGATTTGGGAATTCAGACTTCCCGTTTATCACATGCACGACACATTGTCACAACATTCACATCTACAAGTCTTGTCTTGGACAAACATCTTAGCAAGATGGAGAATGGGCCGTAAACAATTGCTATCTCTTCTCACAAACCCCCTATACCTCCGTTATGTCCCAGCAAATTACCAGCTCATTCCTTCCCTATGCTCTTCTCATGCTCTTGTCACATCTCCCAACTAGCCAGAAACTCCACTTTTTGTCCCCTACTTCCCCAAATGGTTAGTTGGGCTCATCAGTCTCTAGCAGTGACTTTCTGTTGGCTCTGTGCTGCACTGGACGGGTAAAGCCATTTGGGGACTGATTTCTTTGCTTTATCACCATCTACGAGGAGAAAGAGCTTTGCATCCCAAAGAATAGGTTGGGACCTGCTGAGCCTCCTCCCAGCCCAACTCTGCCTCGCCGGGAATTCTGCTCCCAGCAGCAACCCACGACACACCGGGTCCAGGAGCGAGAGTGGAGGTGGAGAGTAGGGGGAACAAGGACAGGACAGCAAGGTAGACGCAAGGGCTCTGGAGCAGGGGCTGGCGAGGGGCCACCAAGCGTTCTACTGGCGGAAAAGAAAGGGCCAAACAGGCAGACTAAAGCATGAAACAAAAGCAGAGTCTGGGATAAAAGACTGGATCTACCAGCTGTTGGGCCCAGAGCCTCCAAAAGCACTGTCTGAGCAGACATCAGGCTGGGTTGTTCCTAACGGGGCAAAAATCTGGGCCTCAGGCCAGCACCTCCCCGAAAACCCGGACAGAGCATCTCTGTCCCGGCAGCCTCGGCATATTTGGAGGCCCCTGTTTACTGCCTAGTGACGGAGGGGTTGCACTTGCGCCATGGAGGCTCCGGCGCACGCTGGGGAGCCGCACGGTGCAGACGTGACCGTGAAATCGGCAGCCAACGCTGCAGCGGGCCCACGAGGCCTCCACGGCCACCTCTGTTCAGCACTTGGGAAGCGAGCGGCGTGAAAAGGACTCTTCTTACAAGGGAGAGATGGAGCACAGAGAGGCAAAAACTGAAGTGCTTTGATGGCCAGAACTGATAACTTGCCTTCAAGAGCTCTAAAAAATCAGCTGAAGAGCTCTTTTTGCAGTGGTTGAAAGGGACTGACTTTAACATGCCTTAAAACACCGAGGCAGGCTGAAAGCTCGTGCCTTGCCAAGATCTGCAAGAGAAAAGCAATGACCCTTGTAATTACGGCCAGGGAGTTTGATGCTTATACCGGGCAAAAGCAGAGGAGGCAACACAACAAGTAACCAGCAAAGAAGGAGAGCAGAGAGGTAGAACTAACACCAGCCGACATGGAAATGGGTCACAAGAGCAGTCCAAAGTCACTTTTTGAAAGATCGCAATATCTGATGACGAAGGTAACTGCTGACACAGCATTTTTAGACTCCTGTAAGGATTTTAACCAACTGGCAAACACTGTTAAAATAATACTGTGTAAAATCCTCATCACCGTTAATATATGGAGTAAAACGGTCATAAAATGTAATCATAGATGACATCAAAGTGTAATCATAAACGGCAGAGTCGCGTCCCAAAGAAGTACTTGTATATAGGTCCAAACAGTTTGTGTTTGATCCATGCCATTTAATCAATGTCCTACCTGATGAGCTGAAGGAAAACACACAGTGAGAAAACTTAGAGAAAACACAGAAACTGCAGGGAGTAAATCATCGCGGTGCCTGGCTGCTGGCACAACCTGCTGCAGATCGCTCGGCAAACTGGGCTCTCGAGGACAGCACGGGCTCTCACAGAAGCCACACAAGGTCCTGCAGCCGGGGACGCGCTGCCAGGGCACGTCACCCTCGTGGCTGCAAAGTGCCACCACCAGACGGACCCTGAGCTCCCGGGCTGGCCCTGTCCTGAGGAAGCAGCTGGGCCTGGAAAGGCGGCAGCAGGACTACCGGGCTGGACGGGGTAGGCGACACCACTCCAGCTGTGACAGCATCACAGCGGCGCAGGGCTGCAAGAGCAGCAGCGGCCACGCGCCACCGTGCCGCCGCGCTCCAACCTGTTAGCAGGAATCGCCAGTGACCAGGACCCCATACTCCCCCTCAAGATCTGCACCAAGGCTTTCCTGCAGCTCCCTCGATGAAAGGGCAGCACTCGGCTGCCTGTCCCACCGCCGTGCCGCGTCCTGGCCGCAGCCTCCCATGCCAGGCGGCTGCTGTCCAAGCCTCTGGTTTGTCCTTTTGGAATCATGTCCTGCCTTCTCTGGCTTATCGCGAGCATTTTGAATTTCAGACCTGGTTTTGACCCTGTCTGTAGCCTTTCCAGCTTGGTGTCTCCTTGATAACCACGCAATCCATTCAATCACCCAGCCACGGAGATGAACGGAGATGCACTGCATGACACCAGACCAAAGAGAACGTGGGGTCCCCGTTCAGTTCAGTATTTATAGGCATCCACTGAGCAACCTGAGTTTGGCTTTTCAGCCATTTGTGCATCATTTAAGCAAGGCTGCTCTACAGAGCAACCCCAGAGTTATATTCCATAGCAGTATCCAATATAAGGCTGTAAGAGGACCATCAAAAGTCTTCCTCTACGTGGCTATCCCCTCCTGAGCCCGTGTCCCCTGGACCCCTAGCTGCCCCACACTCCAAGCTTCTCTGTCAAGCCCCACGCCTGTATTTTTAGTTGGTTTCTTGGCAGAGAAGCAGCCACGGCTGACCCAAAGCACGTGGTGCTGCTGAGTAGCTGCTCTGCAGCAGTGCCCG